CTCTCCCTCTCCCTCTCCCTCTCGTCATCTACAGTACATCATCCTCCTTTCATAAAGCGTGCGAATACCTTCCGGGTGGTAAATTTGCTCTACTCTGCTTTCGTACCTTCAGTCCCAAGGATACAGTCGGCCGAATCTCTGTTGTGCAATTCAGTATTTGCAACTGGGTTCTCTTCTCTTGAATCATTCTTATTCCTGTGTTGTTGTCGTCTATATTGTTCGTTATTTTGTTGCTGAGTTGATTATTCCTGCGGCTTAGTTCATTCAGGTTTTGGGGGTTCCAGCTCCTTCTCGGTATTCTATTTTACAAATCACCTCTGCAACTTTGCAAATTTCCCAGCACCCGCCGTCACTTTCGTCACACCTCTTCTTCCTCTTTTCCTCCTTCTCAAGACAAAACCCGTCGCCTCAGGCCACCAACCCATCACCACCACCGGCTGGGGCCACCGCAACTTTTTTTTTACCCTTCCCCCCAAAACTCCCCCCCTCCCCAGTTCCTCCATTCCTCCCCAGTCTTCCTTTCTATATCCAATTCTCTTCCAGAGTTATCTTTGGCCTTAGCAGCTTCGTGCTGTAGGCTTTCTTGCTCCCTCCCTACGTCGTGGGGGCATTCTCGCTCCTCTTCTTTTTCGTCCATATTATCTCATACTACCGCACATGACTCCACAATCGATTTCACCTGTACCTTCCGCAGTCTCTTCAGCCGCAACGTCACAGATTTTTCACGACTTCGGAGATGGAGAGTCCCAGGTAACACGTGCTCTTGCGGGCACACATCTGTCCGACATGAACGGGGACGCCCTCCCCACCTCCCCTGGGCCAGTGAAGGCTCCCAAACCGACCATGGCCAACCGCATCTCTCGTATGTTCTCGAACACGGGCAAGACGACCCCTAAGGAGATGGATCCGCATCGCGATTTCTCGGATAGCAGCTCGGATAGCATCAAAGCATCCTCCAATAGTAGTACGAAGCCTTCGAAACCCTCGTCTCGCCCTACCTCAAAACCCTCCTCAAGAGCGCCATCCCGTCAAACGTCTACCAGAGAGGACGAACGCAAGATCAAATCCAGCAGTGGCAAGGACCAAAAAGAGGCTCCAGTCGCTCATCGACGCTTTGAGGTGCCCGGCGATGGTACTCACCTACATCACCTCAAGAGTGCCAGAAGGCAAGAGAAGCTGACCGACTTGCTCCGCGATATGCTGGGCGGCGGAAGAAAGAAGGAAGATCATGTCGAGGAACAGCAATTGTCTCTCATGTCTACTTGGATTGACCAATTCAAGACCGAACGCGACAAGCTTGCTGCAGACAAGAAGGGCGGCCCCAATGCCACGGCCTCGCTAGTTGACAAGTACGGCAAGTGTCAGGAGATCGTTGGTCGGGGTGCTTTCGGTATTGTCCGCATATCTCACAAAGTGGACCCTAAAGACTCTAGAGTCGAGCAGCTCTATGCCGTCAAAGAATTTCGCCGTCGGCCCCAAGAAACTACGAAGAAATATCAGAAGCGGTTAACATCGGAGTTCTGCATTTCCTCATCTCTCCGCCACCCCAACGTCATACATACCCTCGATCTCTTGCAGGACGCCAAAGGAGACTACTGCGAAGTCATGGAGTATTGTGCAGGCGGTGATCTGTACACACTGGTATTGGCCGCTGGCAAGTTGGAAGTTGCCGAGGCCGATTGCTTCTTCAAACAGCTCATGCGGGGTGTTGAATACATGCATGAAATGGGCGTCGCCCATCGCGACCTGAAACCCGAGAACCTCCTGCTAACTACCCATGGAGCTCTCAAGATCACGGATTTCGGAAATGGCGAGTGTTTCCGTATGGCTTGGGAGAAAGAGGCCCACATGACTGCTGGGCTCTGTGGCTCGGCCCCTTACATTGCCCCGGAGGAGTATATTGAGAGGGAATTTGACCCAAGAGCGGTCGACCTGTGGGCGACTGGCGTGATCTATATGGCCATGCGGACTGGGCGACACCTTTGGAGAGTCGCCCGCAAGGATGAAGATGAGTTTTATCAGCGGTATTTGGAGGGTCGCAAACATGAAGATGGTTATGCTCCCATCGAAACTTTGCATCGGGTAAGTACACCGTGGACCTCATGTTGGCAGACATGTAGACTGACACGTTGCTATGCAGGCTCGTTGCCGGAACGTCATTTACTCCATACTGGATCCCAATCCTTCTCGCCGAATCAATGCCTCGCAGGTGCTTAAATCCGAGTGGGTTCGTGAGATCAAGCTATGTAAGGCCGGTGAGGAAGGATTCTAAAGCAAAAATCAACGATCAACATATTCACGCCGTTGGGCTCACCTTCAAAGCACCGGGGGTGGTCACTTGAGAAGGGGGCCCATGGTCTCGGCGGGCTCAATCTTGCGTTAGTCGGGGCTGTGCATCCCTTACTGAGAAGTCGATCTCTTGTTTGGTGTGCGTGTGCCGAAAATAAAACCATAGACCCGGGTGGTTCATGTGTCTGCCGTTCTACAGGCGAATTTTCTTTTCCTTCCGCCTGCTTCTTTCTCGGTCTGTCTTGCGACTGGTACCATAGAAGGGGGCCCTTTTGATTTCGAAGCTATCATACCGGCGCATGTTTTCTGTCTCTACCATTACTTTATACTCCTGCCTACTAGCTTATGGGTTTAGTTTGGTCTTCATGTTTCCATGTCAATGCAACGAACAGTCATGATCTATGAGCCACTTTCTCCTACTTTAACATGTTTGATGCAACCTACATCCATTATGGTTGACTATTTGTCGCTCACACTGCAAGGGTACTGCCCTTTTGTCTTCTTATGTTGTTCCTCTTGCCTTTTTTCTTCTTCTATCTTCTATTCCTTTCTTGGGATTTCTTTTGTTATGGTGATTCTCTCTTCTCGAGATCGGCTGGACGATCAGTTTCTCCTTGGGAGGATATTACGATTTGGCTCAGCTGGAACCTGTCCTAACCATTTGCGTCTTTATCGTTCGCTTGGGTCTACTTCACTTTCCGGTCGTTCTTGGTGTCATGGTCCTGAAATTATTGCACCATCAACCTTTAATGGGACCGGGGATCAGGCATGTGTGTTTCTAGGATACCCTCTGGCAGCATATTCTCCGATATGATCATCTATGTCATTCTTCTCATTTCTCGTTCCTTGGCTGGATATTCTTGCTCGTCATTTAGTCGCCTTATTGCTGGCTATACTGTACAGCAGCGTTTGTTGTACCCAATACTGTCCGCGACTCGATATAATAGTGGCTCCTATGTACCGTACCAATCATGGAATATTTCAAGATAGAGAAAATGGCCTGATAATGCTCCAGTACGTGTGAGAACGAGGTTGTTGCCTAGTTTCTCTTTATGTGATCATACAATTGACTAGGAATGACCTCTCAAGTTACTTAGTCTGTCGCATTAATAGGCCAGCGGTCAATCCAAGTCAAGAATTGAGTTCGAGTTCTGGCGCATCTAGTCACATTAGTCACTGTGTACCAACTCAGAGCCACCAAAAATGCGAACAAGGTGTAAGTCAGCAGTTTCAGCCTCGGTCGGGATCAAAATACCACGGTCGGATTCCCGATAACTGGCAGCTGCTCCACCGCTACCAACACTGACTGACAGTGATAACTGCCAGGTAACATAGAGACCCATGACTGGCACTTGTGCTGCATGCACAGACTGCACCGGAATGTGATCTGAGATTGACTTGGTGGTTATGTCTGGTTCGACCGGTCCAGCCCAGGACAAACGACGCAGGCCATGCGCACTCTCACATTGTAATAATGTAATAATGTATGTATTTGTACATGTATGTATATTTGTATGTTATGTTTGTACTCATATGTACGTACAGCACTAACTCAGACCCGATGCAGGAAAGAACGCGCCGGGCAACGAGCCAGATCAAGCTTGCTTGGCGCATCCTGCAGTCCGAAGACGAACTCGAGCTTTTAATCAATACTAGGTAGAATTGATTAGTTTCCTCTGCGGGCCGTTCAAATGACCGATTGACTGACTGGCTGTTATTGATGAGTGGAGATCGACAGCTCACCCAGTGTGTTGATTGTTTGTTTTTTGATGCCGGGCTCACGGTCATTCACGGTCTATGGAGTAAACCCTCAGCTTCAGGAACCGAGTGGCCGTACTCCGTACAGAGCGTTTTTAGGCTGCATTTGTTACTCCTCTCCCCTCCAACTGCTTGAGTCTCAATGCTCATGTTGCTGTCTGATTCCGTTGGGGAAATGTCAAGCTTGGCACTGCAGCCAGCCCTATGCTGATGGAGAAGGAGGAAGACGAGGAGTTCCGGATGATCTTCCGCTCAGGGTAGGCAGCACTATTACTCTCTCTCTCTATCTCCCTCTCCTCTCTTGGCGAAGAGGCGAGTGTCTGAACCTCTTACCTAACAGTCCGTCACTGCACTGCATTGCCCCCTTATGGTTCGATTGAGAAGTCGAGAACCCGCCCACCGCTGCAAGGCTGATGGCCAAGAGTCCGATATCGGGTGAATCTTGGCAAACACATTGACTGGCTTCTTTTCAGGACATATGATCTCGAGTACGTGCACTAGGTTGTAACTACGGAGTACCTAGTGCATCCATAATTGAAAGGGTTCACTGGAAATTTCAGTCGGTCGTTTTTCGTTTTTTCTGGCATGAGGAATCTTCTTCTCCGAAGGCCCCGAGGGGAGGATTAAATTCCATACGAGTATGTATGTAATATGTACAAAGTAGCTGTGCCATGCTGTGCCTGCCGATCCTTCATTGGACCAACACATGATATTGTAGGTCTCGTTCTCGCACGAGGGGCTTCTGAGAATCCGGGGTGCAGAGCAACAACAATGTTCAGGGTCTGGAGCCTGGTTCGGCCGAGGATGTGCTACAATAGCTTGGTGAGGGGGAAGAATAGCCGCAAGAGAATCGCTCCCCAGACCCCAGAGAAAGTCAGAGGATTGACATGTTGTGATGAGATTGAAGAGTAATGTACAGTACAGTCAATCAATACATAACAGTGTAAATTTGCAGTGGTTCACTGACTTACTGAGTGACATACTGACATCACTTCCATCTCCCATGTTAACTTGAGGAAGTTACATAGCAGGAGGCAGGCTGCAACGTTTCTTGATACTGGCAATACATGACGTAGAAGAAGAACAGGAGGAGGAACGAACGGCCGATACAGTGACACACACAGTGGACATTACAGTACTGTATAAAATAAGTTACGTTACTGTGACTGAAAAATGCACAGCCCGTGTTCCTACAATACACTAACTTACAATACAGATGTTATCCGCCCGCGGATCCCGGGTAAATGCGCACAGATTACGATGTGTGATACACGGGTGGGTAATACTTCATACAGGACGAGCTGTAACGCAAAGAACATTACATGAAAGAGCACCGCCACATCATTCATAATTCGGTCAGCGCCACAGTGATGGCAGCCTGCCTTGTCCCGCATTCATCGGGCATCTCCATCTGCTTTCGGAAAAGAGGCACCCTTTCCACATTACGTTTCACTCCCTCAGACTTGGAACTCGAACAACAACGAATTCGCGATTTGTTTGGTAAACACTTGTTAAATCCCTATCGGAGTGCCTATCTCTTGCGGCCGGCATAAACCTATCGGTTCTCTACATCCAGCCATCCTTCGCTCTATCTCGAAGAATTCGCCCCAACTCCCAAGACCCATCGTCATCATGTCCTGGGCAGGTGCGCAAATGTCATCCCTGCTTCTTGCAGTTTTCGCCGGTCCGCTTGAGACCTCTACTTCTAACACTTCTGGACTCTTTAGGGTTCAAGAAAAATGTGAACCGCGCAACGACGCAGGTGATGATGAAGACCGGTATGTTGTTGGCTGCCTGCGTACCCCGCGATGAGATTGTCTTCTGTCATCCTCCCCTTCGATCGTTCATGACCACCGACGGCTGACTCGAAATACTTCTTGTGAACTAGGACACGTGGAGCGGACCAATGATCGCGACTATGAGATTGAGGAAAGGTGAGGCATTGTCGGCACACAAACTGGTGATCAATGGTTGGTCCGGGTCACTGATAGGCTCCGACTCAGGCGGTATCGGACCATGGAGGCTGCTGCCAATCGGCTACAGAAGGAGGCCAAGGGATATTTGGATTCGCTGCGAGGTGTGTTCTCTCTGAAGCCGCTTGCAAACCCGGGGGAGAGTCCCCGAGGAGACAGGTTGCTAATGCGTAGACAATTTTGTCAGCGATGACCGCCTCCCAGATGCGCATCGCCGAGACGATCGATGCTTTCTACGGCGATGCGGGTACACGCGATGGCGTCAGTCGGAGTTATAAGCAGGCGGTGGAAGATCTAGACGCTGAGACGATCAAAGCCTTGGATGGACCCTATCGGTAAATATCCCCTTGCGACTTACTGCCGTCGATGCTCTTGCTGGTCAAGGCTGAACAGGCTGCTGCAGGTCGACCGTGCTGGAACCGATTTCGCGATTCTGTGCCTACTTCCCGGATATCAATGAGTGTATCAAGAAGCGCAACCACAAGCTCCTGGATTACGATTCGATGCGGGCTAAGGTGAAGAAGTTGGTCGAGAAGCCTGACAAGGACGCCACGAAGCTGCCCCGGACCGAGCGCGAAATGGAGATCGCCAAGCAGGCGTATGAGCAACTAAACGAGCAACTTTTTACGGAGCTACCGCAACTAATTGATCTCCGGGTCCCGTATTTGGACCCTAGCTTCGAAGCCCTGGTCAAGATCCAACTGCGCTTCTGTGCCGAGGCGTACTCGCGTATGGCTCAAGTACAGCAGTATCTGGATGCGGAGACGCGGGATCAGTATGCTCGGGGAGATTTGGACAATCGGGTGGAAGAGGTGTTGCAAGAAATCCGGGATTTAAGCATAGCGGGCACCGTGTGAGGCTTCGGTTGTCGATCATGTTACCCTTCAGAGAAGGGGAAAAGGCGTTTCCATTACTTGCTATTCTTTCTCGGATTTGCGCTGTCGCTATTACTACCCCATATCTTCCTCGATGGGCTGCCTCTAATACTTGATTTGCTCGTGGGTTGAGCAAAGGGTGTCTGGGAGGGAGGAGGGAGGAGTGGGCTCTCTATCTTCCAGCTTCTTAGCCAGACACGGAGCATTTGTGTATGATCTAATTAGACTCTGGATTCGCGTTCCTCTTCTAAGGGGATGAATTGCGTTTCATGGGTATCTGTAAAATATACGGCTGGGTCATGACTCCCCCAGCATGAAAAATCTATCTTGCTTCTCCGCTGCTTGCTCAATGTATGGTTTCCATCCTTCCGTTTATGATCATTCACTTGAGCTCATCGTCCGACCGATAGAACTCGTCGGCCAGAAGATCCATGACGCGACCCGCTGCGGCGGCAATGACATCCAACTCCGTCTGAGACATCTTGCCGAGGACATATTTCGAGACGGCCTCGGACGTTCTCTGCTTGGGGCGACCGATGCCCACTCCCACGCGCATCACTCGCGGGCTTGTCGCCGACTTGACCGGGTAGTGTTTCTTCGAGCGCAGGACGTCGAAGATGTTCTGGAGGCCGTTGTGGCCCCGCAGACTGGCCTCATTCGGACCCCCGCGGCGGACCTTGACTTTCCCCAGCGGCGCCTCCAGCTCATCATGGAGGATCACCAAGGTCGGTTTGAAGTCGCGTACATTGCGCAGATCGGTGCCCCGGCGCTCCCACTCGGGCTGCTGCCCTCGCCCGGTGCCGGTGGTGGTGGTGGTGGTGGTGGTGGTGGTGGTGGGCAGGAACTCATACGGGATCGTCAGCTGTCCGCGCTCGGCGAGCTGCTGGTGGTTGATCCCGGCGCTGGGGAACTTCTTCATCCAGGTGTTAAGAGCCGGCACGACTTTCCCGCCGGAGACGTTCATCATCGCGGGGGACTCGAAGGTTTCGTAGAAGTAGGGCCGCGCGCCCCCGCGGCCCGTATGGGGGATCCGCGCCCGCAGGAGCGGGACAAGTGCATCCAGAAGGATGTGGCCGGCGCTGTGGCGGGTTTGGCGATAATGCTGGGGGAATCGATTCCCTATAGAGGCGATGAATAGGAAGCGGTGGGGGACTTTGATGATCGGCCCTGCAGCGGCCGCGGCTGCAGTTGAGGTGGGAGATATGGACATTTGGCTGTATGAGGAGGAGGTGGTGGAGGTGGAGGTGATGGTGGCACACAGGGGTGTGTGTTTGGTAAAGTAGTACTGCACAGTACAATGTGGAAGGTGATTGTTGGTGTAGGTGTTGTAGGTGTTGTGGCTGTTGTAGGAAGTATTGTTGTTCAAAGTAGTCTCGGAGAAGGCATTGTTGCTCTTTTCCCTTTTTTCTTTCTTTTTTTTTACTACAAAAAAACCCCTCCGACTGGCCCTAGATCTACACTACAACCAGGGCTTTCCTCCACCCACCCAGCCCCTGGTGGCTTACTTCTCTCTTATTGTCATGCTCTTGCTTTCGACTTCAACTTACTAGCCTGCGCGCTCCTCGAAACTTACCAGCATCACTTGGGCCCTTTCTTCCTACAACGAGTTTTGATGTCATGTCCATAGGTACCCCAGAATGAATGATACGGAATAAGATAGTCGTAGGATGATATCCTGATGTAATATGAGCAAGGAAAGAAATCCCCCTATAGAGAACTGGGCTTCGGGAAAAACAACCAACAAAACGCCCATCCAAACCCCTATGCAAACAAACATGGCTGGATATCTTCAAGATAAACAATGGGAGAAATTGCATCATAGCTGGAATTTGGTGCGGGTCTTTTCCATGCCGCCCTTCCATTCCCACTCCTGGCCACTAGCCCGTTGTATACCCTTATCAATCCGGCGCAGCTTCAGGGTAAAGCGGGGCCCCAGTTCCTGCATACCAGCTCGAATGCCCTCAGCACCCTTCATCTCCTTGCCATCCGCACCTACAACTGCCTTTTCAGTCTCTCGCTTCTCGCGGAAGACGTAGCGGTGGCGACGAAAGAAGAGATAGTCGCGACTGTTCAGGACGGTGACGACTTGCCGGCCTTGAACTTCCGGCTGCGCGGGGAACAGGGTACGGAATAGATGGGCCGTCAACAGACCCAGGGGAGTACGGAAGTTGTTCAGGATGAGCTCGGGGAAATGATCGGTGGCATTTCCGTGCCCAGGAATGCGCTTGCCTTCAACCCAATTGGACATGGAGAAATGAAACATTGGGCCAGTTGGCAGGTGGACGATATCCAGACCAGTTGGTTTCTTCTGGTCTTCACGTAGAATTACCAGCGCAGTGTAGTTCCGATTCGAGGCGAATTTAGAGATCTCGCGGATGGAGAACTGATGAGCGAACCGATGGCGAGTGCGGCGAACATAGTGCGAGTTGGGGAAGAGGTCCGTGAGTAGCTCGGCCTCGTGATGAAGTGTTGAGTTGAGCGAGGTGGTGATGAGGATCTTGGGTGAGGGGTTTTCAAGGTTGAACAACGAGGGGAATTTGGCGGCCAGCGCATCGGGGACAAGACTGAGGTTAGTGCTCTTGGTCGATCGCGACGGGCTGGTCGCTCGCTCGGTAGCGGAGGGAAGAGTGGATTTGCGCCGTCCACGAGAGTCGCCCTCCTTGTGTTCATCATCGTCCTCTCCATCATCATCTCCATCTTCCTCGTCGTCACTGCTGGCAAGCATACTGTCCACATCGTCGTCCTCGTTTGAATGCTCCTCTGAACCATCATCGTCCTGTGAGTCTTCATCGCCCGACTTTTCGGTATCTTTCAAAGGTCGGTTCAGTTCATCCTCTTCTTCCTGCTTGCGTCTCTTGATGCGCTCCACATCAACACTCAACCCCAAGCCATCTTCGACGTCACTGCCGCCCTCATCCCATACTCGTTTCCGATCAATGGTAAGTGGGATATTGCGCTTCAACCGTTCCTCCTTCAAGCGGGGGTTCTTGGCCTCTTCCTTCTTGAAGGCATATCGTTCGGTGCGGCGAGCGGAATCCTTGGCGCGCTTTCTCTTTATATGGAGCATCTGGCGGCGAAGTTTGTTGCGCGGTTTGATTTCCATGCTCGCATCAGGCGGCGGCCGAGAGAGGCCCTTTCTAGACCCCATCCTATCGAATCTGTCAAGGTAATTCTCCCAATTGATTTGTGCTTGTGTAAAGCTAGGCAAAAAAGACTATGGGGGGGAAAAAAAGAAATGAGACGGGCGGAATGACATCGGGACTGGAACAACATCTTCCGGCGGTGAGAAACAGATTTGCTGCCATTGTGAGGCGGGAACAACAACCATACCCAATCAGGCAATGTGGAAGTTTTTATGTCCGTTCTTTCTTTGGAAGCCAGCAATCATTCCCGATCAGTTTCAACTACGCCAGTTTAAGTTAAAAGAGAACTAATCCAACTGCGCAATTGTCCTTCTTCATCATCATCATTTCATACAGCGAACCTCATCTGCTGATCTGACGTGGTGATTGATTGGTAGTTTGTAGAGACGTGTGGCGGATGACTCACTCGCAGCATTGTTCTCGTCTTTCTGCTCTCCCTCGTTTCATCTCTTCTCCTGTCCTGGTTCGGCCACGCCCACCGCCGCCGCCGCCGCCGTCGTCTTTTCTTCCCCGCCGCCGCTGCCCACTTACACTTTCTTCACTTTATTCCGCTGCCCCTCTTTTTCTTGCTTCAATCCCCGCGACTTTCCTCTCGTCTCCCTTCTCCTCCCTCTCCTCCTCCCCCTCCTCCTCCTCCTCCTCCAGACTTTCTTCTACCTCCCCCATCCCCCTCCTTTTTAAGAGTCGTATTGCGCAATCTGGTCAAAACCCGAAGAAAAAGAAGAAAATGGCTACGATCAACACCAGGACCGGTCAGGTCGTTGACCGGAGTGTTTTGGACTCTATGCTGCGCCGCCGCCTCTTCTACACCCCATCCTTCGAGATTTATGGCGGTGTCTCCGGTCTCTACGACTATGGCCCACCCGGCTGTGCCGTCCTGAACAACATTGTCGACCTGTGGCGCAAGCACTTCGTGCTGGAGGAGGATATGCTCGAGGTCGACTGCACAATGCTGACCCCGCATGATATTCTCAAAACCAGTGGTCACGTCGAGAAGTTTGCCGATTGGATGTGCAAGGATCCCAAGACCGGTGAGATCTTCCGCGCTGACCACCTGGTCGAGGAAGTGCTCGAGAGCCGCCTGAAGGGCGACAAGGAGGCTCGTGGCCAGAAGGTTGAGGTGGACGAAGAGAAGGAAGCTAAGAAGAAGCGCAAGTCCAAGCAGACCAAGGCTGTCAAGCTGGATGATGCTGTCGTCAAGGAGTACGAAGAAGTCCTGGCTCAAATTGACAACTTCGACGGCCCTGCTCTCGAGAAGATCATCGCCAAGTACGATATCCGCAACCCGACCACCGATGGCAACCTCCTTCCTCCAGTGGCCTTCAACCTGATGTTCCAGACCTCCATTGGTCCTAGCAGCAACATGCCTGGTTTCCTGCGCCCCGAAACCGCCCAGGGTCAGTTCCTCAACTTCCACAAGCTGTTGGACTTCAACCAGCAATCCATGCCGTTCGCCTCTGCCTCGATCGGCAAGTCTTTCCGTAACGAGATTTCTCCCCGCGCCGGTCTGCTGCGCGTGCGTGAATTCCTCATGGCCGAAATCGAACATTTTGTTGACCCCGAGGGCGGCAAGAAGCACTCCCGCTTCGCCGAAGTCAAGGACGTTGAGTTGTCCCTGCTCAACCGTGACGTGCAGCTGTCCGGACGCACTCAAACCGAGAAGATGACCATTGGCAAGGCCGTGGAGTCCGGACTGGTGGACAACGAAACCCTGGGTTATTTCTTGGCTCGTATCCAGCTTTTCCTGCTCAAGCTCGGTGTGGACCCCAGCAAGCTTCGTTTCCGCCAGCACATGGCCAACGAAATGGCCCACTATGCTGCTGACTGCTGGGACGCTGAACTGCAAACCAGCTACGGCTGGATCGAGTGTGTCGGCTGCGCCGACCGCAGCGCTTACGATTTGACGGTGCACAAGAACAAGACTGGTGCGCCTCTGGTTGTGCGCGAGCCTCGCGCTGAGCCCTTGAAGATTGAGGAGTGGCAGATTGATCTGGACAAGAAGAAATTCGGCCCCCGTTTCAAGAAGGATGGTAAGACTGTTGAGGCCGCTATTGAGGCCCTCTCTCAGGATATGCGGGAGAAGCTCTCTCTGGATTTGACACAGAACGGCAAGATTGAGGTGCCCGTCGAAGGTGTCGGTGCCGGCTCGGTCGAGCTGGACAGCGAGCTGATCAAGATTGAGAAGCGCACTCGGGTGGAGAACGTGCGCGAGTACACTCCTAACGTCATTGAGCCGTCCTTCGGTATTGGCCGTATTTTGTACAGCATGATGGAGCACGTCTACTGGTCTCGTGAGGGTGATGAAGCTCGTGGTGTAAGTCTATCTTCCTTTTTTTCTCAACCCACTGCATATGCTAGACACACCGAACTGACTAAATTCGCCATACAGGTTCTGTCCTTCCCCCCCGCGATTGCTCCGACCAAGGTGTTGATTGTCCCTCTGTCGACGCACGCCTCCTTCGCGCCCCTTAGCCAACGGCTGATGATGTCCCTCCGCCGGATGGGTATCTCCAACCGGGTGGATGATTCATCCGCTAGCATTGGTAAGCGCTACGCGCGCAATGATGAGTTGGGCACCCCCTTCGGTATCACTGTCGATTTCCAGTCGGTCAAGGACCAGACGTTCACTCTTCGTGACCGCGACTCGACGAAGCAAGTTCGTGCCAGTGAAGCGGAGATCTTGCAGGCCCTCAAGGCTCTCGTCGATGGCGAGGAGACTTGGGAGGACGTCCGCAAGCGTCTGCCTGAGTTCACAGGCCAGGAGGTTGATTAGACAGCCCAAGCCAAGCGGATTTAGACGATTTGATGGCTATTGATTGGGGGCCTTTGACATCCCATGTCTCGTTTCTATAATAAAGAATTTTTCATTCAATAATAATGAATGTTGCATCTTCCTCTCCATTTGAGATAGAGCGTAGTACATGGTTTTAGACGCCAAGCACAAGCCTGCCGCGGCCGGGATCATCAATGTCATGGCCAGTTGGCAGTCTCCCCATCCATGCCCTTGATTAACCTTGCATCTTCTTCTTCTTCATTGACTTTGTTACTCTCCCTCGGTCTCTCTCACTCAGATCACCTCCCTTCTTCACTTGTCGTCTTTTCGTCCCCCTCTGATCCTTCATTCAGTTTTATCTACCGGATTGCTTTCTTCTTTGTTCCCCCCTTTTTGTGGGCTGTTTGATCTTTGTGCTCGCCAAGCATGGCACCCTCAATCCCGTCTGCTAAGCTGACTCTTTCTTGTCCTCTCTTCGCCGCTGATTTCGACCCGCGCAATCCTGGATTTTTGCTCGTTGCCGGTGGAGGAGGGGAGGGTCGCAGTGGGGTGGGAAACAAAATCGCAAGTCTGCCTCGTCGCCGCCTCGGTCCAGTCCTATGAATCTACCTACTAACGATCATCCTGTACTGTAAACAGGTCCTTCTCGATTCCTCTAAACGCCATACGCTCTCTCCGGTCGTTGATATCGACTTGTCGCGCGATGAAGATTCGGTGACCTCGCTGGCAGCCGCGCTGCCTACGGAGGACTCGGTCATTGCCTTGGCCGGCATCAACAGTTCCGTCGAAGAACAGAAGCGAGATAACAACCAACATCTACGGTCCTTCCGCATCGATTACCCTCCACGCAGAGCCCTTTCTGGAGCCGATCAGGTCGTTGAGTCGTCAGAAGACGGCTCGTCTGCCGCGCCGACTCTTGGGAAGACTACGCCCTTGTCGCGCGCCTCGCTCTTCCGCACAGCCAAAGGCTCAAAAACATCCGACACCTACCAACGCCTTCTGCGCCTCTCCCCGTGGAAGTCCGGTGCTCAATCCCCTCGCGTAGCTGCCATCGCAACCGGTCTGGCGGCGACTGGCGAGATTGTCTTCTTTAGCGCGACCACTACCCCCGGGCAATCGGAGGTTATCGGTCGAATTCGGCTAGGCAGCGGTGAGGAGGCCGAGGACATCGATATCATTGAATTAGACGACGAGACGGGCACCTTCCGCTTTGCCTACAGCAATGGTGTCGATGTTTTCGTAGGCCAAGTTGCTGCGGAGACTCGCTCAAATGCCGCGCCGGACGTGCAATGTATTTATACGACACCGGTCCCGGAGAAGGGGCCGCGGACTAGGCCGAAGTTCCGGGCGTTGCGCTTCCTTTCGCCAACCAGTCTACTCCTTCTGCAGAACTCTCCCGACCGTAAGGGCTGTGAGCTGATGATCCTTGATCTCCGAAGTGCGCTGGTTCCCAATCCAGGGGAGAAGAAACTGCAACAACAGCAGCGAAAAACCACCGAGAAAGCAAGCATCATCCGGCGTAAAAAGCTTCGCAAGACCATCAAAATCGGTCTTGGTTTGGATATCTGCCTTCTAGGCTCTGGGAGCGACGACCCCGTTAACCAGCAGCAGCAGCAGCAGGCCATCATCGCAGTCTCCGGAAGCGACCAGTCCATCGAGCTTCTGACCCTCGAATTCAATCCGCTCAGCAGCCGGGGCGGCTACGGCCCTCTCCGTCACTATACTACTTTCCCCGACGTGCACCCGTTTTCCATGACTAAGATTTGCTTTGCTCCCTTCCATTCACCCTTGCACCCTGTGTCGGCCGCGACTCCTCCGCAATACGTTCGATTGGCCTCGGTCAGCATGGGCAATACGGTCGTCGTCCATACTCTCCCACTTTCCCCCTGCCCCCCCGCTAGCCGCAATCCTCGCTACGTCTTGTCTATGCCTGAAGAATCTGAGATCTGGACCAATTTCTCCAGCGGGTTTGCCGCCCTTCTCTCTATCCTCGTTGTCTGCTTCGTCCTGCAGGCGTTCACCGAGATTCGGGGAGCAATGCCTCCCTACCTCGGTGCTACCGAATGGCTCCCCCCGCATATCCGGGACGCTGTAGCTCGACCATATTACCCTCCTCCTTCCCCACATCCGCCCTCCCCTCTCCCCCCCGCTGACCTCTCAACCTTGTTCCCGGAATCACTTGTGGTGACCGGGGCCCCCAGCAACAGCCCCATATGCGCATCATCGACCCCCTCCCCCATCCCTGTCCTCGCACCGGGCAAACCCTCGTTCATCTCCTGCGATCCAGCTACGAATCTGCTACTTGTGGACTCCACCCCAGCAGATTCTGTCTCGTCCTACCGCCGTTGGCGAGATGTCCAAAAGGCCGACCGCGCTCGGTGGACTCGGGGGCTGACAGAGGCATGCTACGGTCCGTTGTCCGAGTCGGATCTGGAGTCCGAGTCCGCGTCGGATGACGACTCCGTTCCGACCGGTGTGTTCTTCGGGGATCTGTGTCCTACCAACCCTGCTTCAGACCTGTCTTGATTGTTTGCCCTCCTCCTTCTTGCGGCTCTTTCTGCCCTCCCCGCATTTTATACACTATTCTTATGATATCGGGTTCATCAAATTCGAGGCTTAGCTGGGAAATAAAGATATAATGAAATTGATGCTGCCTGCCTGCGTTGCTAGGCCTAGATTTAGAAATATGACTGAACGATGATTAAAGGTTTGGCTGGGTCGAGTGATATGTTTGTATATACTCGCTTGGTTGTTGCCGCAGTCTTGAAAATATACAGTACCAGAGCGGCTCGCCTGAACATGCTCTTCTGATCCATACCCATCCTCTTGTGATGGCTGTCCTGAAATGGCCGGGCTCAGCCTTCTCGTTGTGTTTACTTGTATGCCTACCTACCTTACTGCGGGAAGGTCGCCAGTATATGCTATGTGAAGCATTAAACATGACGTCATTTAAATATCACAAGAAAGGAACAAAGAGAGGATATTTTCTATTTTGGTTCTATGTCCGTCCCTTACTTTGGGAATCGCATGGAAAAACAACCACATAAGGGCTCTATTGCGTCGGTCTTCGTTCCTCATGAGGTCGACTGGGCTCCCTCTGCGTGCCAGCAAACAGTGATCAAGCTATCATATCAGGGATCCGTTGACTGGCATGAATAGGTGGGCAATGAAAATCAACGCAAGGAAACGGCGGCATCACTTGGACTGTCTATCATGCACCCTTCCGTCTTTTCCATCGACTGTGTACTCCTCTATTATCGGAACGTCCGCGCATGTTCAGCAAAATAGCTTCTCAACTGACAAAGCAGTTAACATCATCCAGCCACTCACATATCTTACTGTTTCGAAGTCGCTGCACTCCCTTGAGCAGGGACAATTCAGCAGAGGCCATTCCCACAGCGTCACGCAGCGAGAAGTGGGCGGGCAGCAAAATAAGAATTATGCACAAATGTAAAATGTATAAGAAAAATGGCGAGGGAGGGCCTTGAAAGGGCCGAAGAGAAATCAATATCAAAAACGCCGAAGCATCCATGCCAAGTCCGTGCGTAGCAAAGTGTGGATATCACGATAAGAATTTGGGTGCAAAGGCGGGTCGTTAAAGGAATTAGCAAAATCAACCGGCGGTGCATAAATGTGACCCATATGTGTGGGGGGAATCAAGATCTGGTTTAAATCATCAAAGGGTACCGAGTGAGCACTGTGGTATGTAACGACCCGCGCTGGGAACTCTCCCTTTTTCGCTTACTGCCCGCTGTTTTTCTTCCAGCGCAGCAGCTCTGCAAGGCTAGCCAGACTGCATCCCATCTTAAGGAACTCGTGTGCCAACAACTCATCCGCCGTAGCACGGCTACGGACGTCAACGCAGAGGCAGACACTGAGGAAGGATTTGAGCTCTTTGCTGAGCTTTTCGGGCTTCTTCAGACGAGGGGTGCCGTTGGTGGCGATAAGATACAACGCTTTGAGGGGCTCCTCATTCAGGTACGGAGGCTCGGACTCGATCATCTCGATGGCCATGATTCCCAACGACCAACAGTCGACCTTGGGTCCGTACTCTTTCTGTTTCACAACCTCGGGTGCCATCCAGTACGGCGTACCAACCATAGTAGCCCGTTTGCTTTTCGACTCTGTGAGTTTAGCACAGAACCCAAAATCGGCTGTGATAAAAAGAAAACAATGCGATCAGTTATGGGAAAGCAATTCAAACAGTGCTCCAAGATGATCGCTACTCACTGATCTTAACATGGCCAGCTCGGTCCAAGAGCACGTTATCACTCTTGATGTCACGGTGAATGATGTTCTGGCTGTGCAGATGAGCCAAGCCTTTGCAGGTCTAGTGAAAGCTCGAGTTAGTGTCTGTTACATGCGAGAAGGATCATTGCAAAGTACCTCTAGACAGATGGTAGCAATCTGGTCTTCTTGGATCACCTGGTTATTATCGATCACGTCGGTCAAAGCACCTCCTTCCATAAATTCCATGACGACCCACAACTCGTTGCTTTGCTCTTGCAAGAACGAGTCGAGAAAGTTTACAATGTTGGAATGCTGGCTGTCCTTCATGACGATAATCTCGTTGACGATCAGCTCCTTGCGCGGCTGACTGCGCAGATCCATTTGCTTGATGGCCACTTGAGTTCGCGGTCCATACTGACGGTACAGCTCACGGGCAACAGGAGATGTGGCATGCTCCTTGACCCGAGCCACATACACAGAGCCAGAGGCACCTTGTCCAATCTTGCGCTGCTTACTGTAGGACTCGTTCGGATTATCCTTCGAAACGACGGACCGCAACCGATCCATAACCTCATTTTCGCTCATAGCCGACATACGAACCTCCCTCTGCCGGGGCTCTGCCTTCTTAGTCAAAGCCGCTTCGGCTTGACGGACTCCATCTGGCACATTTGCTTTGCCTGTCGCCTGCTTGTTCGCAATGTTCAATGGTTTCACTGGCTGCACTGGCGCCGGGAGCTTGCTGGGAGGTGGGCCCTGGGCCTGCTGTGTTT